GAAAAAGAAATTATTTTAAATCCAAATATTTTGTGAAGTATATGTAAAAATACTACGCGAAAATATGAAAATACGAAAATATGTTAAATTATCAATCTAATGATCAATTAAATACATGATTAAGGAAATGAAAAATGAAGGTAAAAATATAAATTCAATTTTCTTGTTAACTTAAATATAATATGGTAAAGAAGAATTAGATTTCTCAACTTTAGCATAAATAATAAATAAGTTTAAACAATAAAGAATTTTATAAAAGATTGTTCTGGTTCTTATTTAAATCATATCCACTAAAACCTAACGGAGAAGCATTAATTAATTTCAAGTGAAATGCATTTGGAAAATACTATTATGCATTAATTTAAATATAATTTTTTATTTTGCTTAGATGCTTTACTATTACTATAATCCTGTCTGAAGATTTCTTATCTGAGAAAATCAGAAAGTAAATTATTGATCCAGTCCTTGATCTTTTCTTTTCCTTTTTTTTTGTTAGAAACTAAGGAAAAAGTCAAATAGAAAAAAAGTTAGATTATATTTTGATAATTTAAAATCGTTATTATATATTCCATTACTTTTGAATTAAAATTATTTGAGATCACAAATGCAATTAAATTACAAATAAAAATATGTATTTATAAAAATGGAAAGCAATTAAAATGCATTAGATGTAAAGAAGAATGATAAAAAAAATTGGCAAAAGGCGTTAAAAGAATATCTATCTGTCTTATATTATATAAAATTATTAAAAAAAACTTTAACATTAATTAAAATATGATTTTTAAAAAGATGACATAATATTTATCGAAGTGTAACATTAAAATTGCTCAGCCTGCACTTTATTTGATTGGCTCAAAATCACGTGAGTGCATTTAAAGAATATATGGCTAATATAGATAGGATTAAAAATCTGTTGTACAGTATAAATACGGAGAGTATGCATTTAGCTCTAAGTCTTAGTTTAGAATTGAGCTAAAGTGTGTATATAAAGAGGATGTGTACTTATATGTGATGCACTTAAAGAGAGTTGACTATATATTTATTATATTTAAAATATAACTATAATTAATTAATAAATAAATTTTTAATTATAATATTTTATAAATAGAATTAATCTAATTGTAATAATATATTGTTATAATTAGATTAATCATTATAAAAAAATAAAGAATAATTCTTAAATCTATTTATTAATATTAATATAAATATTTTTGAAATTAAAAATAATTTATTTATTATTTTAATAAAAAAATTTGAATAAAAGTTAATATTTTTAAAAAAAATTATTAATATTAATAAAATAATAAAATTAAATAATTTCTAAGGTATATATATTTAAATTATATAATAAATATATTTATCACTAGTTTTATACCTCTTTAATTTTAGTTTTTACTATTTATTTTAAAAATAAAATTTTTTAGTAAACAATTATTATTTGTCACATCCTATTCATCATATAGCTAATTTTTTAATTTTTTAATATTAGTAAAAAATAATGTTTATGCTAATTATATTATATAACCTATATATATATATCTGTATACAAATAGAAATTGCTTAAAATTAAAATTAGAAAATTATTTTTTTTATATTAATATATTTTATTTAGATAATTAAGAAATAAATAAAATTTTTTTTATTTAAAGAATTAATTCAATAAATTTTAATTAGTAATTATATAATATAATATTATATATAAAATTTGTTAAAAATATTATATAAAGATTTATTAAAAAAATAATAAATTTACTATATTTAATTTTTATTTTTAAAAAAATTTAATTAATAATATACAAATTTTTTATATTAATAATATTTAAAAAAATAAGTTTATTCATATTAAAACTAATATAATAGAAAAATTAGTTTGACTTAAATATTTATATAGTCTACCCTTGATATAATGAATTTTGATATAATGAATCACATGATACTTGATCAATTAATTATGTCAATTTTTCCTCTCTATAATAAAGTAACCAATCAAATCCTTCAAATTTTTCACTAACTTATTATAATGAATTTGAGATGTAGAGCAGTTATTTTGCTATATTAAAAGTAATTTGTAATTAGAATTAAAAATTAATATTGTACTTATATTGTAATATACAAATTTTTATATTAATTATTATAATATACTAATTATGTCAATAGTATTAATTTATGAACTTTATACTTTTCATTACTATTATAATATAATAAACAAATTTTATTCTTAGTTATATATGCTACTATCTTATATTATAGAATCATCTTATATCATAAATCATAAATTGTATTTAAAACCTTATATTTTAACTCCCAACTTTATTCCATTTAATTTATATTATATTTTAATTATTTGAATCATTAAAGATAATAGGCTATATTATCATTAAATCTGATCATTAGTTATAACAATATTATTTGTTAAAGTTTTAGGATTTGAGATAGGATGGAACTGGAACTTTATCCCATACTCTTATATATGAATAACAAGATCAAACCTTTAGTATACTATATATCATTAGATTTAAAATGTGAATCAATTTATTAATAAATTGGTTTCAATGATCACGTGCCGATATTATTGGCTAAAATTGTTTCATATATCTCCTCCTGGTCGTTATATTAACCTACCTGAAGATTTTAACGATTTTTTCGAGAAACTAATTTTGGACTAGGACGAAGCAATTTTAAAAACTGCATTTAAATTGTGCTATTTTACGGGAGTCACACGGAGGTTGGTAAGATGAAAATCTTTTCAAAATAACAACTTTGCTTGACCTGTTGAAAAATTCTGTCTCTGCATTTATTTCTTTTTGATTTTGGTTAATCAAAGCCATTTTTTAAGTGGGGTTTCAAATGAAAATTGTAAAATTTAAAAACAAACTAACTGAAATGAATAGCGAAAATCGTGAAAAAAAAATATATTTCTCATATTGTATATGTGGAATTTGCACATCATCTTTACACTTGAAAGTATTGCTAGCAACATTTTATGAGAACAAATTATATAATAAGATATTCATATCGCATTTTTTAAAAACTCTTTGATCCCCCGCATTCTGATTTCATGGGATTTAAAATTAATTTCATCACACATATCCCTATTTTGGATCTATTAGCGTCTTATACTAGTTAAAGACATTCGCTTAAACTTAACAAATTAAGAATCAACTTTCATGTAACTACATGATGCATATCCATGTGAGAAACATAACAAAACGCCAACAGTATCTTCAAAGAAATTTTGGTCGGATTTTCATATCGTTAATAATTTGTGACGCCAATTTTAGTTCTCATTGAAAGGTCTTTGATAGAATTCCTTATATGTGCAAGATTTTCTGAGCCGAATATTAAAATCTATAAACAAGAACTTTTGTTGGTTAAACATACTTATGAATCATAGCTCAGCTACTACATTAATAATTTATAATAGACCTTGTATTTCAAGAGTACAAATAATTATGTTAAAGAGAATGCGCAAATAGTTCATTGTTCAAAGTTTTATGCAAACTTGCAAAACAATGCACCAGATATAAATAAATGATATCAATAATGAAAGAAGCTGACCAATTTATTTACATCGCTCGATTATTTACTCTTTCTTTGGGTAATGTTATATTAAAAGATTTACGTGAAGATATTTGATTAAAAGGTGATTTGTCAAATAACAAGCATTATTGTATTACAATTATGGTTAGCTTTTCGCGTTTTTTTACCCATTGTTTATCCAAAGCCACAAAACCCAAACAGAACAAAAATTACTGCAGTTTCTCACGATTAAGGAAAAAAAAAACTCCTTTTAAATTTCTATATTTTGCTTTGAATTCCTAATATATATTATTATTAAATTGGATATTTTCTGATAAATGATTTACACAACAATTTTGGGGTAGGTTATAACACAATTTATATGGTTACCGATTCCCCAGTAATTCTCACGCGCCAACGAAAAATCTTTACTCACTCAGTCACTTTGATAGGCTTGGCAATAACATTCGCGTGATCACAGATTTGAATCAATAATACAACATATTTTTAGCATAATACTACAATTCAACAAGATATAAAATATATTCGTTCAACGTTCAACGATCTCACATTTTTTATTCGTGACTAACAATAATAAATAAATGACGTATTGTTTCTCAAGTATTATTTCGTTGAGAAATTTCTAAATAATGCGATGGAAAAAAAATTAGCCAAAGTTTACACATAATTTATTATTCGCTCGTTTTTATCATCATTAAACTAGGTTTTTTTTTATTAATTTGGTATATCTTTCAATACGAATACATAAAATGATTTTGTGTCACGTAAATTTGCACTAAGATAAATTTAGTTTTTAATGAATGAGAAATGTATTGGGGGCTCAAGTTTCAAATATGGAATTTCGGAGTTCGTAAGCCATTGTTAACTAAAGGTAAATAAAATCATTTACCATCGAATATGTGATCGGAGCGTATTTATATTTCAATTCTATCTTATTGTAATTCTTCATTTTCTCTAACCTTTTGTTTGCACTCGCGTAATTCAATTTTAAAAAAGTATGTTTATAAATTATATCTTTCGGAACCATTTTTTTTATTTTTTTAAAAAAGAAAAAAAGTTATAATAATCTTCTATGATATTTTTTTACCGAATAAATTACCAAAATAGATGTTTGGTGAAAGAAACTACCTGCAAACTTTAAATGATTCATTTTTGTATTTATTTAAATAAATAAATAAGCACACAAACATCATCTAAAAACAAATTAGCTAAATGCAAATTGGTTGTCAGTAGATCTGGACGCTGCGGTCATCCGGATATTTTACTTATTGTAAAAATTGTTATAAAAAAGGGAGAAGTTTTTTTTTTTGAATGATATTATGCGAATAATCTCCCAAGAAAAAAATCAATATAAATATATATATAAATATATATCATTTTTTTTTTTAAAAAAAATTCTCAACGATCAATTCTTTTTTTTTTTTTTTTAAAAAAAAAGAAGATAATCCTTTTTAACGATAATGAAAGTTTCGAAAAATCTCAAACAAGTTTCTCGTAAGGCTACTACCTTAAACGAAAAAACAAAGCCTGACGAAACGGCGATTAATGAATTCATCGAAAAAATTAATATCAAGAATATCATTCCGCCGAAATTACCAGCAAAAAAATTAGTAGTCGAACAATTAAACAGAGAGGGAACGCCTAAAAGACCAATGAACCGCTTTTTTTGTTTTAAACGTATCGTTTATCTAGAAGTTGTGGAGAATGGACTTTTATCTTCAGCAAAAGATGGTGTGTTTCTTACAAATGTCGCATCTAAAATTTGGAATGACATGACTCAAACCGAAAAGGACCATTTCAAAACTATTGCAGACGAAATAAAAATATTACAGTCAGATTTCCATAAAGGCAAACATTATAACAAAAAACCTGTTGCTACGACGTTCCATAATTATGCTAGTGAAGATTTTGATAAAAGAAAGAATAAGAAGGGAGTGAAAGATCTAAATCGAACAAAAAGCAAAATGATAAAGAAAAAAAAACAAGGAAACGTACATAATTCCCAATCGCAAAAAAATCATATTAAAAGTATAGAAGGCCATTTTGTTCAAACTCAACCGCAAAAAAATCATATTAAAAGTATAGTAGACCAATTTTTTCCAACTCAATCTCATATAAAAAGTATAGATAACCAAACTTTTCCAACTCAACCGCAACCATTAATTCAAAATCATATGCATATGAAACATATTATAAGTGACCAAAATATTCCTCAAATTTATCAAATCGTACCAAATTATCTTCATGAACCGAATATGAGTGATACAATTTATTCTTATTACCCTTACAACATGTCAGATCTAGTATATCACCAAGATAGTCCCGTGTTCGAATTTATTTAGATAATTAACCGTGTTAAACAGTTTCTATTATCCAGTTTCAGTTTATTTTAATTATGAATGAAATAATTAAGTTTTTATATTTTATTTATGCATAAGGAAATAACATATGTGTACAAATGTATATAATATATTACATATTGTCTGCAACTTAATAGTATAGTTCATCTTATGTACAGGTTTATTCTAAGGAAATAAATTATTTAACTAAGGAATAAAAATTTAAGATTATTAATTACCATTTTTCTATGATTCATTTCTTTTGTTTATTTTTTTTCTTTTCGTAATAAAAAAAGAATCTCTTTAATTAATGCAATTAAAGCAATTGTAATAATCTATTTAAAATCAAATTCTTTTATTTTGGAATAAAAAATAAAGTAGGCTCGAGAGCGCAATTTCATATTTCTAGAATTCATATAACCTATTGTCAAATAAATAAATGCAATGTATGGTAACCAAAAACTTTTATTCTCAATAAAAAAGTCGCATGAGTTTAGATTACGTTTTGGAATGTTAAGCTGACATGATTTTTTATACACTTCGTATATCGAGAACTTTCTGATAAATTTAGGACAAATTCTAATCTCTTCGCTTTTCGATAATTTAAAGGATGTTATGCATAATGAAGATGATAAAATTTGTAATTTTTATAGAGTTTTTCAATATCAAATAAATCTGAAATCTTTTACATCTTAAATACAGTACCTATATGGCAGGTTTGTCATGTTCGGATCATATGATTTGATTTTAATAGGATAGAATCTTTTCTTTGGATATTACAATTTCATACTCGTTTTATTTAAATAACTTTCTAAATTTTTTTTTTTGTTTGACTTGTCAATATTTAATTTTTAAACGTTAAGATATTTTAATTTATCATAAATGATCACTACATAACTAGAACTAATTGAATTTGGAACTAGATAGTCAATGGCAAGTTGTTTTTTCTTGACATGGAGCCAAGAAAACAAAGAATGCATAAACCATTAATTTTTTGAATTTGATTCAACTAATATTTAGCTAAAGAATTATTTCCTTGCTTAATAATAGAATAGATTCTTAAAAGGAAATGTTAGACAAGATTCTGCGTTACTTTTTTTGGTGAAAATGCCCATCTTATATAATATCCAGTAAATTAATGATAGTATAATGACTATTTGTATTTTCTCAGTTTTGATTGTATACGCTTAAATTTCTTCAGCGAATAAATTTTTTACAATAGGTCAAATTACTTCTCTAAATTCACGCCAGGCAAATAATTAACCGGTGAAATCAATGAATGTTGAGAAACCATTTGGTTTGGTTCTATTTAAGTATTGGATATAAAGAATCCATTTGTAATTGAATTTGCTTAAATCAAACAGCGTTCGAATATGCGCAACGCGTATTCATAAATATAATCCTGAGATTTGACATATATAACTTATTTATCTTTCTACAAAAAACGAGTTATTTATATTTTACAATAATTCAAAATAACGATAAGGGCGGAATTGCTACGCCACATGATTGAGATTAAGCTTAATGTTATAAAGTTTTTTTAATAAATACGGCTCATAAAGGACAGCACAAAATTGTTAACTAAATGTAAATAAATAACTCAGAGTTTTATTGCTTTAGGCAAATATGTGATGGGAGTGGTTAATTTGTTGTAACATCACTTTCTTTTCACGGAAGTTGATCTTCGATTTGATAAAAGAAATAAAAAGAAATAAAAGAAAAGTGTCACAGAACAATGTAATTAAAAATACTCAAATTTTTTATTCCATAGTTTTAATAAATCTATACATGAGAGGAGTTTTTTCCAAACAAAAAACACATACACATGTAAAATACATTAATTTCTTAGATGCTAACAAGTAATTGACCGGAGCGAAGCGTAGGACATTATACTTTTAGGAAATAATGTGAAAATTGATATGTCACGTGTGGATTTACAACGCCTCTAAAATTTATAATACAATTAATTAATTAACATTTATTAACATTTATTAAGAATCGGAATGATCACAATTGTCCAATCGGCTGATTAAATAGTATATACCTTAATTAATAAATATTTTGTTATTTCATTTACCAATTGTAAATTCTTAAAATACATATATACATTTCGCTCTGGACTCTCAACGGTTTCCGTTTCCTAGTATTATATAATTGAATAGAACGCGCGCACAATCAGAAAGTGTATTTGGAAAGGAAAAATTGATCATAATAAATAGAAACTAATAAGAATAAATTTGTATCATTTGCATTGCCTGCAATTGTATTTTTGGTCAACAAACTTGCCATGTACTTGCCACAAAATTTTTACTCCACGTTATTTTTAAATTAAAAAAATATGGTTTGGTGTTAATCGAATGAATTTAGTTGGTTACACAATATTTTTATGACCGTTATCTTTTTACTGAAAAGTATGCAACCCGCTATTTTTTATAAATTTTACTGTTCTAATTTGTTTGTACAAAAATAGTGTCCCATCAATATTACTTGTTGAACCAAGTCAAATATAATTAGCTTTACATCCATTAAGGAGACATTTTACGCGTTGGGCTCATCATCATTTTCAGAATAAAATTCAAAAAATTGTTTAGCAAACCTGCTTTATTATTTGTATCAGAATTTCTAGACCGTTTTGAAGTTGTAAGATAGTTTCTGAATTACTTGAAAGTTCATTAAATATTTAAAATTTACAATTTTTACATCAATACATCAATATTTATATAAATACAAACCAATTGCTTTTTTGTTTTGCAAAGTTGCAAAAAAAATAAAATTTTGTCTATCTGCAACCCATACAAAACATTTATAAACCCTTGTTATCATGCGTCATTAATTTGACGATTAATCAATTGATCGATTACCGATTAACAACATGACTACTGGGGTGGTTGTTACGGTTATGATTTACTACTGGTATAAATGTAAAAGGAAGAAATTCATGGTAAAGAGGGAGGTAATAAATTGATAAAACATATTTATTACTTTGTATTTGCGCACATTCAAATTATTAATTACAAATAATATAATAAGCAATTTCTAGTACCGCAGTAAATTTTCGAACCATGTTTATATCATAGGTTTAACAGTTTTGTGTTCCTGTTTTAAACGTTACGACGTTATTTTTAATTAATGATCGCGTTAAAGTGATATTATGCGATGCGGTAGTGACATTTCCTTCTTTTTCACATGGGAAATCACTTTGATAACGTAAAAAATAAGGTTTATTTATTTCTTTGAATGGTAAATAAGCAAATGCTTAAAAGGAAATACTGAGAAAGTTCTGAGTTCTTATCTTTGAATGTAAAGTTTCATATGAAAAATAAACAATCCTTTGACGCCAAAAATTCGCTTTAAAAGTTTTTTTTTTTTTTTTTTTTGGTGATGCTATCTTAAATGATCTATTTTAAATGCGCTTTCTTTATTTTTTTCCCTAATCTGTCTTTAAAAAAAATTTAATAACCAATAATGGGACAATTTTCAATAAATAATTTTTTTTACTTAATTTAGTTCATCTTTCATTGAACCAAAGAATTTCGGTCAGATTAAATTCCATTTATGTGTAAATGATTTTTAATCAAGAATATTCTAATTTCTTAGGAAAAACGATTAACCGGGTGAAATTTACCAAAATTGCATAATGAATGTCTAGTATCGCTTTTTTGGTTATATAGATGGAATTTGGAAGAGATAAAGAATCATCTTATAATTATTAATTTATCCTTTCTTATATCGGCGTTGACCATTCGCATATAAAATATTTCGGCTGGAAAAATTAATAGCGATAAGAAATCTCATATTCCTTTAATATATCCAAAACTCTTTGTCTCGCTAATATTAAGAAAAGAAGTGTGGTGTAAACAATACAATTTATGCATAACAATCACCAATACAAACTTACAGTATTATTATTTTTCGATTGATTTAATTTATTCATAAAGGTAAAAAAGTTGCTCTTAAAAGTACGGAGTTTGTTCCGAGTTGAAGTGTTTTCGGCGTATTAACAATGTTCAGAGTATGGGCGTATAACCTGAGTTTGCTCTGAGTTGCGAATATAATTTATATTGTTTCTAACAAACAAAAACCATTGATTTTTTTTAATGTTAAAATGTTTTCGTAAATATTGATATGCGAAATTTCTACGTCACATTAATAATGTACAAGCATACCCAATGAAATATGCATTACATCAGTGAATCCATTGTTAATGCGGATATCAAATCCCTTACCATAGGCGGTTAAATGTTTTTGTTTTTAATAAAAATTCTAGAGATAACCATTTTTATCTGATGAGATTTATGCAATTGGTAAAATTTTTCATATGGATCTCTGAGTTGAAATGAGTCATATTAAGATTATCATTAATTACTTTGATAATCGGTGTTTCTCGTTACCAAGTTAGGTTAAAAGTCGAGATTTCAGATCGATTATGGGTCTTACATATTCAATTTAAAAATATCATAACCCATATTTATATTGACTTTTTTTTTCTTTCAAATGTTTCTCACGCCATGATTGAATTAGCATCGATAAAGAAGGGAAATCCATCAATATTATTAATCGCGGTCCTGAGACATCAATTAAAGTGAAAAAGATGTGTTGATGAATATTATTTGTTTGTTGCCTTGTAAGATTAATGTCGTTTTTCGTGTGAAATATAAAAAGCACGATTGATTCTGTCAAGTTGTAAAAATTTTCATTATCACATTCTTTTTAAAAAGTATGTGACTAGTGATATCTTACAAAGAACAAATTAGTCCAGTCACGTTTTAAAAAGATTAACTCATATCCAAAAAAATTTTTTAATTAATGCACTCTTACAAAAAAAAAAAAAGATACCGATGACTACAAAATGTTTAAAGAAAAATTCTGTCGAACAGACACAATAACTTTTGTCGTGTTAAAATTGATCATGCCTTAACTCTTATTTATCAAATAACTTTTTTGTATATGCACCCTTTCTTTCCAAGTATAAATGCAGACCTTCTCTAACTAAATATATACGC